GACTTTGAGATCTTCTTTGAGTTCTTCAGAAACTGCATAGAACATAGGGTAACGCAGACGTTGGTGAATATATAAGATTTTGCATTGGTTTTGTCAAAGAGGAAATAGCATCAGAGATTTGTGGTACTGCTGCTTTCTGCAAAAGGTGCAAATTGCCAAGTGAAAAGAAAATCTAGTGCATTGCCATGAGCAGGTAGAAAGTGAATAGGTTTTGTTAAAGAAAGGCAAAATATGTTTTAGTGTTTCTTGCACTTTCTGTCAGTGGCAATGACTTTCTCTCTGTTGCATCCCCCTCTCTCTAGACATATATCGAAGGCTTGAAGATATATATAATTATATAATGGCATGGCTTCAGGGTATGACCACCAAAGCTAGCAAAGAGCCATAGTTCATCTTTGCAGAGCCTTATTTATAATGGGAGGAGTTTACATCAGACTAACCAAACCATCCTAATGTGTATCTACACCTAGAAATAATGCAGTTTGACACCACTTTAAGTGATGTAACTCCATCATATGAAATCCTGAAATTTGTAGTTTTACAAGGTCTTTAGCCTTCTCCACCAAAGAGTGCTGGTGCTTCATAAAACTAAAAATCCCAGGATTCTGTAGGATGGAGCCAATTTGAGTGGTGTCAACTGTATTATTTCTACAGTGTAGCTACACCCTTTGTTCCCTCTTGTTGTGACTGATTGTAAGGAATGCCAAATAGTGGCTAGTCTGTTGCCAATAGTGTTGCCAGTGTTGTCCTTTGCAGTGGCAGGAAACATACAAGAATTCCAACTTCTTTGTCCACAAATAGGACTGAGATTTTTGAGGGGTCATTAGTAGTCTGCTTCAACACAAACCTCTCCCTTAAGTTGTACTTTTATTCAAACTACAAATCCTACACGTAGTTACTTGCCTGAATAAGATGTGAACAATATGACAAAATCACACTTCAGCTGAGAAATAGAATTCATCTTTCAGCTTAGCTTGATGCAGAATAGCTGAGGTAGGTCTTTCAAACAACAGAAACAAACCTCTAGCCTACTTGGTCTATAAATGTGTTTCCCTAATTAATAGCTTCTCATTTAAGCCTGGCTCTTAAAGGTTAAGGGAAGAATTTTCTTTGACATGTTTTGGAAGAAAAATTAATGATAACATATATTATATTCTGAGCTATGGTATTAAATACAACAGCAATAAGTACCCTCTACAGTCTATTAATAAATGCCCCTGCTTTTCTTTTCCACTGTGCATATTCATAATAAAGACACAGTAAAAAACTGGTTTTAATACTCAAGGAGTAAATATCTGTTCACTGACAAGTAGAAAAAGCAAGCAGAAGAAGCTTAAAAGTTAGGAATCCTTGATAAGGGATGAGTTAAACAATAAAAACAACACCCCTACTTATTTGTGTTACTTAAATAACTTACCAAAGGCCATTTACAATTGAGCTGGGTGTCAGTTGGAGAACTTGTAACCAACTTAGGGACATGTTAATGAAAATCTAAACAAACTCTAGTCTTCTTCTAAGGAGTTTATTGCACCACTAAAATGAAACTTCATACCTCTCCCAACTTCAATCTTAACTTGGGTGGCATCTGAATACTATCACAGGGATTTTGCTGCCAAATCCACTGCCCGTGTCCAGCCCAGGCTGACTAAGGGGCATTCAGGGGCATTCAGTGTGACTCTTTTCAAAACCAGGAGTTTTCTGACTTAAGAAAATCACCATTGGAGCACCCCTGGGACCCAGGCTGGATGCAAGCGGTTGATTCAGCAGCAAAATCCCTGTGATAGTATCCGGATGCCGCCCAAATGAAGACTGAAGGTTTATTTAGCAGTACAATAAGCTTATTGGTGTTTCATACATAAATCCTATTTTAATACAAAGTCCTTGCATGCAAAAATGCTTCATGATGTTTGCCAGAATGAAAAATTGAGAGGGCTCAATTTGCCTGAATAATTCCCCAATAAAGGGAATTTCATTATCTACATGCATAACAAACAAACCATACTGAAATTCCTTCTTCTACACAACCATTAAAAGTAGAGGAGCACTCTCTGCTTTCCACCCTGGTAATCTCATGCTCCATTAAGATACATCACAATTTTATAAATGCTTAACTGGAAGTAAGTTCCATTGAATTCAATTGGATTTACTACTGAGTCAAGCTAGTGTGGCACAGTGGTTTGAGTGTTGGGCTATGACTCGGGAGACCAGAGTTTGATTCCCAGCTTGGCTATGAAACCCAATGATTGACCCTGACCAAATCACATGCTCTCATCCTCAGGGGAAAGCAAAGGCAAACTTCCTCAAAACAAATCTTGCCAAGAAAACTTCATGATAGCTTTAGGGTCACCATAAGTCAGAAACTACTTGAAGGCACAGGCATAGGATTGTACTGCTAATTATGCTCCTTCAAATGAACCATGCTTTTCCAAAACAGGAGGAAAGGAAGGTGAACACATTGCTAATTTTGCCTCCAGTGTCACCATCTCTATGCACTGGACAAAGGTCTGCATTTCCAACATGTTAAGGCAGGGGTAGGCAACCTTTCTCCTTTAAGGGCCGAGGGACTTC